GGATGGGGGGGCAAATCTACAACTAAAGGACACGGGGAGCACTAAAGGGAGGGAAGGGCATGCCTTTAACCCGCATTTGGGTGAGGCAAAGACATAAAGTGTAGCTGTAATGTTTGTACCCTCACAAAACCCTGGAAAAAAAAAAAAAAAAAAAAAAGAGAGAGACCATGAATGACTGAAAGCCACTGTGTATTTCTAAACGTCACTCTATCTGCTTACTCTCTCCCATCCCTAACAAACTAAGGGCTTGACTGATGTCTTGTCTCAGGTTAAGGGCTGATAGGCAGTGAGGTGCTAAGAGGGTATGGTGTTGAGGAAAGCAGATGCCAAAAGGCTGGGCCATCCTCTCACTTGATAAACCAGGGCTTTATGCAAGAGAAGCCCCTGAGTTCTCAATGGCTGTCTATATCCTCAGACCTTTGACCTTACAGTCATGCACAGATGGCATATTCCTAGAGCATAAACCATGGGCAGTTCTGGCCAGTGGTTCTGTCAGATGGAGAGCCCTAACTGGGAAGCACAGACAAAAACGTCGACATAGACAAAACATAGACAAAAACTAGGCTGAGATTGTCACAGAACCCCCAAGTCTGACTAAGCCATTGTGACAGAATCCAGTAATCTGCTATTCCCTGCAGAGGGCCCACAACCCCTGGCATCTGTTGGAGACCATTAACTCTGTCCATGGCCTCTGCACAGCAGACCCACAGCCCACAGCTAGTTCTAATGTTAGAGAATTGAAAACAGTGCCCAGACCAGTATCTCCCTGGAATAGGGGTGGGCCAGTCTTCACCACCATGGCCCAGGAGCTGGGCCAGCGCTCTGACTTCACTGCTCCATGGGCTGCATGGAGACAGCCTAGAAGAGTGGAGGGGAAGGTACCGGGCACTGGGGTGTAAATCACCCCCAGGTATACTTCCCAGGGGCCTTCACCAAACCTGGACCTTTTATTTTTTTTCTGTGGGTGCCCCTTTGCAGAGGAACTGATTAGAGGCCAGTGAGTTAAAAGGCTAGAGATCCCACAAGGGCATTTATATCTGTATATATGATATAAATACATGGGGTGTGTGTGTGTGTGTGTGTGTGTGTGTGTGTGTGTGTGCCTAATTCTGTAAGGGCATTATATGTGGCAAGGAGGTTCTGATGAGCACCACAGCTGTATGGCTCTGGCTGACAGTGACAGCCACAAACTAATTAGGGCTTCTCTCCCTGATCTAAGCTCAAGGGCCTTCAGGCTGGATTACTCATCCAGCAAACTGCTAACACTGAATATAAGGTACAACCACCCACATGTGGAGGCCTGTGCTTGTAGCGAAGGAAGAAGGAGAGGTGACTGGGCTTGTTGAAAAGAAAGCACAAGGGTCCTCAATGCTCTGATAATTACTGTATTTGGTCCCTTACACAGTAGTTGCACAATTATGTTTGTGGAACTGGCCTGGTTTCAAATATCCCAGAGAAGGATTCCCTTTCTTCTGCTGGGTATACTATAGATCTAAACAACAATAATACAAAACAAACAGACAAAAAGAAACAAAAGCAGAAATGAAGAAGATCACTTTCTTTGGGACATTCAGTTTAATGTCCTATGTGATCATTAATTTCATGACTCCTCAAAGCAGCTAAGGGAAGGCAGCCAGCTGGCTTTCAACTCCCACAGGGAGGCTTCTGTAATACCCAGGAGAAAGGGAAGAAGAGGGTAGTCTCTGGGCCCCAGAGGCTAGGATTTCTTGGCCTTTAAGGCCTGGGGTTGGAATTAGGCACTATAAAGATAAGTTCAAGTCCTCCAAGGGCTAATGGTAGCTTGCTGGTTTGTATTTAGGAGTGCTCCAAAGCCAAGAGAGTCCTCCCACCTCTTATCCCATTCTGTTAAGCCCAAGATCCTGTTCTACTTCAGCTATGGCCACCCCACAATGACACAGGGGCCTCTTATTTTTCCTGAATGTCTTCAGCAGGTTTCTACGTCTCACTCTGCTAAGAAAGGCCAAGTTGAAAAGGGAGAGACTGTTAAGCTCTGGCAGTACAGCTGGCTGTGAGAAAAGCAGGAATGGGACAGGTAAAGGGATTGATTCCTATGAGGCTGGGAGATGTGCATTTTAGTGATCTGGGTGGCCTTTGCCCTACTGTGCTTGGAAGAGACTTTTAAACTCTTCTGATTGCTAGGGGTATGCACATACCTTTGTTACTGGCTAGGCCTCCAAAATGGTAGAGAGAAGCTGATTATTTTAGCCTATTGTTGATCTACAGGAAGTGGATGAACCAGTACTTCCTGGATCTAGAGATTCTCAGGAACAGAGGAGTCAAGGACTGCTGGGAGAAGTAACTGACTGAAGGGAATCCCAGAGCTCATTTGGACACATAATACACATGATCATTTAAGCACCCACTCAGAGGTCAAAATGTTCCTCCCTTTCAGCTGGGCACTGAGAACTCTGGGATTAGACCTTGCCTCTAATAAAGAGTCTTCTATGGGAGATATGGGTTCCAGATCTTAAAGCCATGGGCCTCACCACCAGGAGGTAGGGGAGACTGCTGAGTAGCTCCCTTTCATCAGGGCTGAATTTCAGGCCCTGTACTAGCAAGAGTGTGCCAGAAGTTGAGCGGGAACAACCTTTTACCTGGTATTGATGGGGGAAAATCCCCGCCACCACTCCCAGCCCCAGAGGAATTGGTAAGCCAAGGGTCACTCTAAGGACCAAGGATAGAGAAGGCAGCCAGCCAGTTGGCACCAGGCTGGTTTAGTAGATTAGTATGTCAGGGTGGAGACAACTCACAGGCTAGGAATTTTAGTGTCGTCATTAGTGTCAATGAGGAAACCAGAAGGACTTGCCTCAAAGTGATGGAAAAGGCCCAAGTGAATAACATACTTACTCTCTAGATATCCTAAGAAGGAAGGTCAGTGGGAGAGAACCATGGGAAACAAAGTTAAAATGGAAACATCAATCCCTGAAATGGTCAGGAGAAAACTGCACTTTTTATAATCTCTTGACTCCAAACACATACCCCTGCATCCTGTTCTTGCCTACCCTCCATCTCTTCATCTTTTCTCCCACTACCATATTATGTAGTAAGAGGGATATACCCTGGCCTCTTTCTGCTTAAGGCACCACTCTGACCTCCTAGACTTTGGACATTGCCTTCATAGGAGTTAAGACATGCTTGACTGGCCATACGTGTAGACTTTCTATACTGCCCAGATGTAGGGCACTCTTCTAAGCAGCTGGGGGTTAACTAGTTTTACTGATTGCAAGAGAAAGCTACCCTTTTACATGGGTCTTATTCTCTGCCAGCTCTAAACTAGATTAGCAAAAGCCTTAGCCAGGCTGCAACGCATGGCAGTTCCCAGCTTACAGGTGTCATATTGGTTAGCCCTGAGATGTTCTAGAGCTGGCTAATCCAATTTCAGTGGTAGCACCTCTGCTTTATAGATGCTACAGCTCTATGGCAAGGCAACCTTTGCTGGCTAGTGACTACTTAAGGCAAGAATCAGACACCTTCTCCAATACAGCTTTATTGGGGTAGTTAGCACAATAAAGCTCAATCTGGCAGGGACAGGAGTTTCGGGCAGGTGAAGGTTTCAATAATTCCCAGAGCTTCCCTGCTAGGAACCAGAGAAGCCACCTGTTCTGGGAGGCTGTTCATCATCATATCCCAGATGACTGGGGCCAGCCTCACTCTGTTTACCAGGCTGGCCTACACCCAAACTAGGCCATCTTTCTTTCTTCTCTGGCCATCTCTCGTTAAAGACACTTTGCCCCATTAAGCTACAAGATAATGTCAGAGTTCGCTTCTGACCTGTTCTTGGCCTAGCTCGTTAGGGGCTCAGGAATTAAGATGCTATAAGAGGAAGCCTGGCCTGCCAAGTCCAATCATTGAGACAGCTGATAGCACCTAAGGCAACTTCAAGAACAAGGCTGTCTTTCAAGGTATTGGCAGTGGCAAAATTACCTTCCATACCAATCCCCAATCTCCATCTCCCCACCTTCCAACACAGACCACTGGGGCTGGGTACTCACTTCTCAAGCAGAGTCAGAGCTGTCTTTGGGTTTACCCGGAGGTACTTGCAGTTGGGCTGACCATAGTCAGCAAGGTAGGTCGACCAATCCCACTGGATGAAAAGATCCAAAAGCTGTAAAATATTCAAAGCACCACCACGGGGATTAATCAGAAAGATAAGACAAACCAAGATTACAGAAACCTCACCATCCTGCACTACCAGCTAATATGTTTGATAAATAAAAATAAAACGTAATAAGAGAAAGAATGGCTACAGACTGTAATTCAACTAAGAAAATAAATGAGTAAACATTAGAAGGCAAAATCGTCTCTGCCACAAGCAGCATAGTGATGTTGCTAAGATTGCATGCCAGCAATTAGCTCTCAGAGGCAGCCCTGTAAAGAAACTAACACTGGACTGAATCAAAACACAAGATTATCAAAATAATAACTCACTTATCCATTTAATAAATACTTATTAAACGCCTTCCACATGGCAAGCACCATTCTAGGAGCTCAATATTCAATGACGAATAAATAAAGGTAGATATAGTCCAGTGCCACATATGTAACTATTTGAACTTTGAGGTTAAAAGCTCCAGTTTTGTGAGCTGCTGCACTGACTTTGCCCGGGTGACTCAGTTAATACAGACATACACACATACATGCCTACATACAAATAGGACACACAGAAACATTGAACCGAGGCATAAATGGGTCATGAAGCATTCATAAGAAGTAGCATGTGTTACACCTATGCGGACACAGGCTGAACAGATAGAAACCAGGGCCATGGTAGATCAGGGCTGAAAAACAGGTTTAGTCCATGATTGAGGATACAGAGTCTGGAACTGGGGGTATGAATGCTAAAGAGAAGTGCCAAGAATTGGATGTGTAAGAAAGAGAGTTTTTTGAGTGTAAGCTGTTCTGACATGAGGGGAGATTTCATCTTGGAGAAACTAAATCATTTTTGTCAAAGGCTTTCCTTCCCTTCCAGTTTTAGCCTCAGGCACCACTCTAACAAATATTCATAAATTATAAAGTAAAACAAATAAATAAACAAAATCACTGCCTTTCAAAGGTGAGGTGGTTAGCTCCCTTCTATAAGCTTCTAAAGGGAATACAGTCCCAGACTCACATCACTGCATAGAAAGGGGGCCCTCCTATATGTACTTTTTTTTTTTTTTTTTTTTTTGAGACAGAGTCTTGCTCTGTTGCCCGGGCTAGAGTGCCGTGGTGTCAGCCTAGCTCACAGCAACCTCAAACTCCTAGGCTCAAGCAATCCTTCTGCCTCAGCCTCCCAAGTAGCTGGGACTACAGGCATGTGCCACCATGCCCGGCTAATTTTTTATATATATATTTTTAGTTGTCCAGATAATTTTTAGTAGAGACAGGGTCTTGCTCTTGCTCAGGCTGGTCTCGAACTCCTGACCTTGAGCGATCCACCCGCCTCGGCCTCCCAGAGTGCTAGGATTACAGGCGTGAGCCACTGCGCCTGGCCTACTTTTTTACTTAAGACCTTCCCTATTTCTCCCTTTCCAAGCAATAACTGCTGGTGAAGACAAGTAGATGGCTGTCTCTCTGTGAAGAACAAAGGCTGAGAGACTAAGAGCAGTCACATCCATTGCCAGAGCCTGGGCTCCAGGAACACCTTCCTCCCACGTCTGTCTTCACTGTGCAGCTAGGCAAATAGGCAGTGCAGGCCTTGCCCTGCTTGGCCAAGTCTCCACTTCCATCCATTCTCTTAGAATAGCTGTTATGAACTTCCTCAAGCAGGATGGGAACTGGCTGAAGTCCCATACCTAAAACTGAGAAAAGCCCCTACACCCTCAGCCAAGAAAGGGATGTTAAAGATGAGAGACAGAGGGAGGGAGAGAGACTGACATGCCGGTTGGTCTGGGCCAGCATGGTCCCAAAGGGCCTTCTCAGTCTTTAGGTCATGCCTATTTTCGTTGGCAAGTAAAAAGGCTTCCACCACTTGCTTCTGCTGACCCAGGGCATCACAGAGTTCTCCTTTAGAAGAGAATTTTCCCTGACTTTCTACTCTAACTTTGATATTTCTATCCTATTGTGTCCAAAGAACACTCAAGATAGCTCCTCTTTACTTGCTCCCAGGGATCATCACTCTGAATGCCCATTGTTTCTAGAATTCTTCCAGTATTGTGCTTTACAGGTTTGGTTATGCTTTTTCTTCGAATATCAGGGAAAAAAACTGTGAAAAAGGATAGCATTTTCTCAATTAAAATTTTTTTTCACAAATTAAAAAAAAAAACCTTGCGGAGCCTTTTACTGTTTGCCTACTGGGGAGCTAATAAAGGAAAAGTGAACGAGTACCAAAAAGTCTAATTGGAAAAACTGGAAAACCTGGATTTCTTAAAGCTATTTTAGATACTACTTTTCAGATATGGACATATACATACATGTAATAAAACTATCTTATCTTTTTATAAAATGCCTAAATTCTGTGATGGAATTAATAGTATCAGTGTTTTCTGATTTATTGCTCAGAATGCCATGTCTTTCTAGTTAATGACACCTGGGTAAATCACTAATAAACAGTAGAAGGAAGTTCATGGCTTAGTTCTAAGGGTTTCCTTTTTTATCTTCTTGCCAAAGTGTCTCAATGCCAGTGCTGAGCCTAAAAGCTCTGGAATCACAAGCTACCTAATTTATTTCATTCTAAGCATAGAAACTATATAACTCTCTTAAGTTCAACCACTATGAGCCTATAGATTACACTCTGGGTTCGTGTCACTTTCAGTCTTTTAGAGTAGCCTAAATGTAGCTCTATGGCCTCCTCTGAGAGAGATGAACATAGAGTAGAGTCTGAGGGTACTTAGCTAAGTTAGCTGCCTAGAGACACAGTTCTACAGGATTCCACAGAACAGTGTTAGAATAAGAGGCCAAGAAAACCAATAGGTTTTATCCATACAGTACTTCGATTTCCAGACTATGGCTTTCAAAAATCTAGGCCGGGCGCGGTGCCTCACGTCTGTAATCCTAGCACTCTGGGAGGCCAAGGCGGGCGGATTGTTTGAGCTCAGGAATTCGAGACCAGCCTGAGCAAGAGCGAGACCCCGTCTCTACTAAAAATAGAAAGAAATTAATTGGACAACTAAAAATATATAGAAAAAATTAGCCGGGCATGGTGGCACATGCCTGTAGTCCAGCTACTCAGGAGGCTGAGGCAGAAGGATCGCTTGAGCCCAGGAGTGTGAGGTTGCTGTGAGCTAGGCTGATGCCACGGCACTTACTCTAGCCCAGGCAAAAGAGTGAGACTCTGTCTCAAAAAAAAAAAAAAAAAAAATCAATCAGGCCCTCCTAGCCTGGTTCTCCATATACAACAACCTTGTTATATCACAATAAATTCTCTCCCAAGGAGTAGAACACTCAATCATCGTTAATGATCCCTAATAATTGTTTTTAACCTTTCATTTGGAAATAATTTCAAACTTATCAGAAAGTTGAAAGAATAAACATAGTATAAAGAATACCATATACTTTCCACCTAGTTCCATCCATTATTAATATGAGTACTCTACCCCATACGCTCCATCATTTGCATTCTCTCTTTCTCTTTACATACACATGCGCACACACTTTATTTCTTTTCTGAGTCTCTTGAGAGTAATATCATGGCACTTTATCCCCAAATTCTCCAGTGTCCTAAGAATTAGGACATTTTCTTACATAATCACAATAATTTTCTACTTTAGTTAATTCAATATTGATAATATTCATACTCTAATTTTGTAAATTGACCCAATAATGTCCTCTATAGCCTTTTTTTTTTTTTTTTTGTTCCACTACATGATATAGTTTCAGATCAGGTATTATATTTTGTTGTGATGTCTCTTTAGTCTCCTTTAATCTTTAATATTTCCACAGCCTTTCTTTTTCTCATATGATAGTGACATTTTTAAAGAATATAGTTCTCCTGACTTCTTTTTTCCCTGAGTTTGGTTTTGTTTGATCTTTCTTATTTATAAGATTCAAGCCATATATTCCTGACCAGAATACTATCATATATAAGTGATGCTGTGTCCTCAGGGTATCATCTCAGGCATACAATGTTCATTTGTTTCTCACTGGTGACATTAATTTTGATCACTTGGTCAAGATGTTGTTTGATTTCCCCACTGTCTTGTTATTATGCTTCCCTTTGCAACTAGTAAGCAATTTGGGAGACGATTTAAGACCATGCAAATATATTCCTCCTGATTAATATTTCATCTTATATTTAGTATCCAGTGAGGATTCTTGCCTAATCCAGTCTTTACTATGATGATTGCAAACTGATGACATTCCAAAACCATCCTTCCCTCCACATTTATCAATTGTTACTCATTCTACTGTAAGCAAGTGCTCTCCCTTCTCCCCTAGTAATATATTTATCTATTACTGGTATGGGCTTATGGGTTCTCATTTTTTCAATGGCTTACATTCATACTATGCCTGTTGTTTTGCTGTTCAAACTGTCCCAGATTTGGCAATGAACTCATTTACATTGGCTCTCCTGTGTATTTTCGACTTGCCCCTATCGTTTGTTGAACATTTCCTTACTTTCTGGCCCTACAAGATGTTCCAAGCTCATTTTGTACCTTTCTCTGCCCCAGTCCCGGAATCAATCACTTCTCTAAGGTGCCCTGGTTCCTTTTATTGGAGAATGGCATTTAGAAACCAAGATCTGAGCACTTACCATGCTCATTTCTACTGGGGTATTATTGTATCCAGGCCCTCTCAGTGGACAGAGCTAAGGAAAATATGTAGACTAACTCACACATATATCTATATTTATTTCTGTATCTATTTGTGTATATATATTAAAATCATGAGTTCACACTGACGTCTTTAATTCCAATCCAGCACTACAGGATTCATTCTAGCCTCTTCCCTCTTTCCTTATTTATCACTTTTTCCTCTGGCAGTGAGAAACCTGGTTGTCATTATCTATGATGTATTTAACTTATTTGTTTAACCCTAATATACAGTTGTCTCAGAATTTCTAACCCATACCCTGGTAATAAACAAATTTACTTACTAGAGTATATTGTTAATATGTAGTTGTTTTTGTTTCTCAAGTTACTTAGGTTAGTTCTTTTCTTCTTCACCCCTTTCAGGGTGGTTGTATTA